GCCACTGCAGAGTGCTTGCTGCACAGTCAAATCGCCAGGTGTTTCCCTAAGCCCACGTCGCCCCCTAGTGGCACGAAAGTGTGGAAAACAAAATGTGAGCATTGAGATGGGATTCAATACAGAAACTGACCAAGATGCTAACCACTAACAGGCCAAATGCTCACACAGTTCACATGCATCACAGATGGACCTAGTTTTTCATTCGTAGATACGACCTAGATAAATGGGTATGACCTGGACACTGTAGTATTTTAATTTCTAATATTATCTAATGTTTCATATTCAAACCATAGCAAAATATCTGTGCCAGTAAACTATAAAATTCCTCCTCATTGCATGTAATAGCTTTCTGGTAATGGAGTGAGTGAGAAATAGATATCTTTGCTGCTATCAGAGAGAAAACCAGACAAATGCTTATCAAGAAGGAAGAACACAGAATTTGCTCTACCACACGTGGTTCCCTCAAATTGTGTTTTGATATCATCCACAGAAAGTCATATATTGAAAAATAGACTTACCAATTATTTTTATGTATTTAATATTTTGATTTTTGACTTTATAATTTTTCATATGAAGAGTTAGTTGAATGCCATGTTTTCAAGGATAATCATGCTTGAGAAATTAAATGTTTGAAATTATATTGCTAATATATCTCATGGTGCATATGACATTTCTGTATAAAGACTATACATTTAACTAAATGAATAAAAATGTTTTATTAAATATCTGCTCTTCCAAAATGGGAGCAATTAAGCAAATGTGGTGAAGAAAGCTGATGGTGCCTCGCTATCTAAAGATATGGCATCTGGGGTCTTAAAGGCTTCATAAAATCAGAAAAGGAATTCATTCCAGTTGTATTGCTTTCACTAGACACATTCAATCTGCACGCTGAGCAAATTGAAATACCTGAATAAAAGGACGTAAGATTAATAGACAATCTGAAAGTTGAGGATAGAACCTTGCTTTCTGAAGACCCTGTGAACAGTTACTTTTGATTAGACTAACCTGTTATATGTTATACCTGAACATAAAAACAAAGCAAAACTCCACAACTGGCCCAGTAAGCAACGTCACGGTAAACACAACTGGTTGAGGTTTTCGATGATTTTATTTTGATCCACAATCAATGCTCAGAGCAGCAGAAGTCAAGAAATTTATATATTGCATCAGGCAAATCTGATACAGAAGAGCTCCTCCTCTGTTAAAAAGATATCACTTTGAAAACTAATGTGAACTTGAGCCAATCCGTGGTCTTTTTAATTACCTCACAGGCATGTGAAGGCTGGACTGGAATAGGGAAAACTACAGAATGGATACATTGGAGGACATGTGGGGCTGGAGAAGAAGTCCAGCCAGAACGCTCCTAAGTGTTCGTCTCATGAACTCTGGACATGTAAACAATCTGATCAACTTAACCACCTCCACCTAACAATCTGATCATATTTCCACTAGTGAAAAAATGTTTACCATTTTTGTAAATTTAAATGTTAAGAGTCAACACTAGCTAATTGCCATTAAACTTTTTATCTAGCAATATCCAAGTTTGCCACTAATATAGATGTTAGTTGTTTTCCAATGCTCATCTTCATTGGCTATGAAGAGAATGCTTCTGTATGTTAAAAATCTTGTAGGAAAGACATACTTATACTTCAGGTATAATTTGTAATACTTTAAAGCTCTGATATTCTTCAGTCTACCAAAATAGCAATAACTTGTTCCAAAAGCCAACGCTTGAAGATAAAAACTGACAATGTAACCCAACTTCCTCTTAGAAAAATCTGCATCTTTAATTTTAAATATTTAGTGGGGAGGGAGGGGGAAAACTGAGGAGCTGATATTAAGGGCTCAAGTAGAAAGTAAATGCTTTGAGAATGATGATGGCAACAAATGTTACAAATGTGCTTGACACAATGGATATATGCATGGATTGTGATAAGAATTGTACGAGCACCCAATAAAATGATTAAAATAGATATATATATTTTAGTGTGTTCCTTTTTATATACAGTTGGCTAAAAGACATTGATGACACCAGTTAGCATTTTTATGCATATTTTTATTGAACAGGTTCAAAATGTGATTTAAAAAATGTAGCGGATGAGAGAGAACAGCAGTCACAATAGTCTTACGTTAACTGCTTTCACAGTAAGATATAAGGAATTTTTACACTTTAAATTCAAGTTAAAATAAGTTCTTATTCTAAACACAATTACTTTTGAAAATAAATAATAAATGATGCATAGATCTAAGAAAATATCTTAAAAAGTGAATGATTGCACAAGAAGCCAATGTGAGGAATTGTGAAAGTAATATAAAAATTCATTTAGATACATTGTCACACATGCTTCATGATTCATAAATACTTCATCTATTTAACAGTTATAATGATCTCTGGGATCAGAAATTGGCTAATTTCTTAACAATTCATTTTCAAAGGAATACCTTCAAACATTTGCTACTATAAAATTTATTGAGAACAATCTTGTGCCAGTTTAATTAATTTCAACTCATTTATCTACTCCTTCTTTCACAAAATCATGCAGCCTTAAAAATCATGTGGCCTGTAATAAAAGTGTTGAGTTCCAAAGTTTAATATTCTTCTCCGTGAGTTATAACAGGACAAAACTAGCAATTTTTAAAATGGCATTTTAGTATATACATTAGTCATTTGAATTTATTACAGCTTATTCTAGTTGTTGGAACAATTTGATTTGTTTATTTTCTTAACCCATATGATTGAGTAACAATGAGAAATAAATAAACAAAAACATTTAACAAAAAGTCAGAAGAGTAATAAGGTAGAGCAGAACCCCGGACCTTGACGCTAATCCATTCTAGGAGCATCGAGATGCGATGCAGTTGAGTTCCGAAGCAATTTTTCCATAAGCAATAACTGAAAACGGATTAATCCATTCTCAACCACCAACTTTTCCCCTAACCTTGCCTTTTTATACAAAACATTACACAGAAACTTCAAAGTAAATAAGTTCAGAGTTAAATAATATAATTTAAATAAGAAACACAACATTTAAAAAGTTTTTAACGATTACAGTGGGACCCATAGCACACTGATGGAGGAGGATCTAGATCTGTGGACACGGACGTGGAGAGGAGAGGTGGGGAGAGTCAGTGCTCGAAAAGGGAATCCCCTTTTCCCTAAAAATCACTGGCAGCAGCCCTTCCGCTACTTTGCCTTTTTCCACTAGGACCTGGTTGGCTCTCTCTAAAAAAAAAATCTGTCTAATGTGGTCTGCTGTTATATCCTTAACTGTTTTCTCAAAGGGTTGACTAAATTATTATCGACAATATCAATAACACGGCTAACCAGTTTCTTATCATGATGATTCTTTTCAAAAATCTTTCTTAGGAACAATGTTTTCTATGTAAAACCAGTACAAAATGCCACAAAAACTAAGAAAATTATAGCAAAACGCTTGGAACACAGCCGCAAAAGGTTTAAACAATGCATACTAACAACGCCAACTAACACCAAGTGACTGAAACACGAACTGCTTTTGTTTACAAAGCTCATGCATTGGGTCAGATTCTGATGTTTTGTTCGAATTCCACTGCAAAACTTTCTCGACATTTTGTGTCGAAATCCCATTGTGTTGAGTACTGATGCAGTCGCGTACCGGGGCTCCACTGTATAGTAGATAACAATTCCCACTACCACTACGTCTACACAACCTGCCCAAACTTTAAACCTAATCATTAATGCAATTATAAAATATATGCATAAATAAATGAGAACATTCTAAATCACAAATTTCTGTTGATCCTTACTGATTATAAACAGGAAGTTACCAATTGTCTAAAACATAAAGGAAGTTTGTTCTTTAAAAATAACATACACGCTCTTAGGTTTGACCAGAAACACTACAGAATCACTGAATGAGTACACACACAATCAAAAATATTATTACTAAGAAGTGCATTGCATTTTGAGTGACAATGACAGCTATATATAAACCATAGATGCATGAATGGATTTGGGGATTGCACTTAATTCTAGCCCCGATCTCAGAAGTTAGTTCTTATGACGTGGCCCTGCTTGCGGCTCACCCTCATGAAGAGACTACTCACGCTATGGATGTTAGAGCAAAGTGCAGTGAAGAAACTCGATGACACCTGGCTCTCAGGAGTGTCTGGGGTCTCAGATAGCTGCTTATCATGAAAGTGAGGTGTCAACCAAGTCCACACGGAAGAAGCACAGCAACCAGCATGATCCGAGGATTATAAATAATGTAATCCAAGTCTAAAAAACAGGAATGGTATCAGAGCTTAAACTGTGAACACCTGGTTTTCAGGTGGCTATGGAAGACAGTGGAAGCCCCAAATCCATTTGCAGGGTGCACACATGAATTAAGCCTCTGTTGAATCCCCTGATCATCACTGAGATATGTGAGTAACCGTTATCCAACAGAGAACATAGTAAGGTTGATTATGTCAGAAATAATACCGCTTGATCTCCCTTTAACTCACGTTAAAGCTGTTTCCATTTTTTTAAGTGACGGGAAATGCATGTGAACGAGGACGTGAATGACTTTGCTGGCATACGGAATGCACTAGGAAGTGGACTGCTGCAGACGCAGCTAGTTTAGAATTAGCACCCTATCTTTCGGTCTGTTAAAATTTTTAATATTTTCTGCTTTCTTTTCAATTGAGGTTTTTGTTTTACATTGTTATTGTTGTTAGTTTTTGAACCTACATTTTTCTGCGTATGAAATCCAGGATAGGTAAGCCTATCAGAGGAAGAAAAGTTTGGGGGAAACGAGGACCTAACAGCAAGAATGAAGAAAATGTTCTAAAACGGATTGTGGTGATTATTGTACAACTATTCTTGATGCGACTGAACTAATGAATTTTTAGGGTGAATTATATGCCAATAAAACTGTTGGGGGTGAAAGCTGGATTTTGGTCAAAGTTAAGGACAAACTATAGTGAAATGTTTGCATATATTAAATGGTATTATAAACCAACTACACATTATAACAATATATACTTCCATGACTTTTTATTGTGACATAAATGGTGTTTCAACATTAAACACTAGAGAAGAAAATATGGGGAGAGAAAATGAGATATTCTGTTAACTTTCCTATAGCCACTCTAACTATTCTTCAAGGGACTCAAATTAATATACTTTTTACCTGTGTACCCTGTACTAACAATTAATGACCATAATTATTATTTATCAACAGAGGTGGCTGTTAAAATAATTTCTTCTAAATTCAGCCCTATAGAAAGAAAACATATTTCAACATGTAAGAGTTCGAAAGAAATATGCAATGTACATTAAATTAACTTCAAATTTTGAAAAAAAAAAAAGTAGCTGTATATTATGACCATGACTCATACATAAGGTTATGGGGTAGCAGGACAAATATGAAATTTGGAGACACAATTGAAAGTAAAAAGCATTTATGTTTAACTCTTACAGATAATTGAAAGTCAATTCTACTTAGAATATGATACATTTGTATTTCCATTTATCTTAAAAAGAAAGCACATAATCATATCTTCAAAAAGATGTGTGAGAATATTTAAATAATGCACTAAGTAAATGATAGCGGACTTTTCTTTTTAAAGATTTATAAAATTAAGTGTTCAAACTCTCTGCAGGAAGGAAATCTCACATGACTAATTGTGACTAAACGTATTACCCTCAAGTACGAAATTCCTACTATAATACTATACAATGATAGGCACCAATTTGGAAAAAAAAAAGTTTATTGTGATTGTTTTGCTGCAGGTTAAATCCTCAGTATTAAAGTTTGCATTTGTGAAAGTGTACCTAATATGCTTTCATACCATTGCCAAGAAATCAGTATCTAAGTTAATGATTTCATGTGAAATTATTTTCTAACATGAATGTGAACTTATAATTGAAGGGCACAGAATGAAGTATCAGATATTTATTATATACAATATATATACAGTATACACATACACATGACATAGCCAAGGAATTATGCTCCAAAAATTACTGGGAAAGGTATTTTGAATATTTTAGCACAAAATCAACTACAGGAAGTGCTCTAGCATCCATGGAACTCTAGACATGTAACTCAGGACCTTGGGTCATGTTCACAGCACCATTCTTCGAATGCCACACTCACAGCAGAACTTTGCCCATTCTACAGGGTATTTGGTCCCACATTCGTGGCAGAATTTTGGTAAGTGTCCAGATGAAATTCCTTCACAGCTTCTAATGTTTCCACCATTCAGGGAAGACAGGTAGTCACCATCTGGCCTAAAGAAGTCCGGAAAGAAAGTGGAAAACAAAGCACACATGAGTTGTTTTCAAATCCTCAGTCTAGGGACCAGGAGATAATATTAAGTATAATCAAAGCTTATTTACACTCATGTTTAATATGCTTCTGGTTCAGATTGAAAAAGCAAACACCTATTCGTTAATACTGTTATTCTCAATATTTTCACTAGCCTTTTATTTGGCCCCATGAGGAGGAGTTTCATGACCCAGCGCAGCCACGCTTTCCATTTGCTCTATGCTGTAGCCCTTTACTAAAGAGCCTCCCTGATGAGAAGATTCAATAAATGTTACTCTTCTCTGAAATTACTGCCATCATATAAATATATTCACAACAAGACCTGTGGACACCCTGAAGCGTGAGTTGGTAAACAAAACCCCTCCATGCAGGTAAAACAGATTCCAGAAATATATATTTTAAGGTGGGTTTAGAGAAAGATGTTTGACAGTATTAGAGTCTTGTTACAATAGACAGGCCGGAGTAAACACAGATTCTACTGATGAAACATTTAAGTATTTGTATACAGAGAATACCAGAACGATATTAGATTGTGTTTTATTAAGTATGCCAAGGCATTTGACTACATGGACCACAATAAACTACGCATAACCTTCAGAAGAATGAGCATTCCACAGTACTTGATTGTGCTCATTTGGCATTTATACCCGGATCAAGAGGCAGGTATGGGAACAGAACAAAGGAATACCACATGGTTTAAAATCAGGAACAGTGTGTGCATGGGGGGTTGCTTCCCTCTCACCATAGTTATTCAAACTGTATGCTGAGCAAATCATCAGAGAAGCTGGCTTATATGAAGAATGTGGCAGCAGGATTGGCGGAAGGCTTATTGACAAGCTGCGATATGCAGGTGACCCACCTTGCTTGCTGAAAGGGAGAATAACTTGAGACACTTGCTGATGAAGATCAAGGATTGCAGCCTTCCGTGTGGATCATGACTCAATGCTAAGAAGACTAAAACCCTTATAATTGGACGGGTAGTTTACACCAGGATAAATGGAGAATAGCTTGAAGTTGTCAAGGATTTTGTCTGGATTGGATCCACAACAGTCAAGACATCAAGAGACACAGTGTCTGGGTTAATCTGCTACACAAGACCTCTTTAAAGTATTGGAAAGTAAGGTTACTTTGAGGACTAAGGTGCATCTGACCCAAGCCATAGGCATGTGAAAACTGGATACTGAATAAGGAAGACCTCAGAATAATCAAGGTCTTTGGTGCCCTAATCAAGGGTGCCAGTGAAGAATTTTAAATTACCAGAGAATGCCAAAAGAACAAACAAATCCATCTTGGAAGAAGTACAGGCGGATGCTCTTCAGAGGAAAGAAGAGTGGGATTTCTTCTAGTGTACTTTGGACATGCTGTCAAGAGAGACCAGGTGTCGTGCTTGGTGCCGCAGAGGGGCAGTGCTCACGGAGAGCTACAGTGGCTACAACAATGGGTTCAAACACAGTAGAAAAATTGTGATGATGGCACAGGACCAGTCACCTAACAACACATCCAGATAACTGGGACTTGTAGCATCTTTAAATTTCCTTCTCAGAAAGCAGTTATAAAGGGCACTTGGAGAATTCTTTCATGAAAGCAGCTTAGGGGTGCTTTTAAAATAAAAATGTCACTAGGCTTTCTTATAAGACTCCTGAGATGCAAATAAGATCAAGTGCTAGCATTTTCGGTGCTGTACTTTGTGTCCTCGCCTGTTAGCTCAACAGCAGAGTTGCGGAGTGGCTGGAACAAGCGGCATCTCTCTGGTGTGGATAACAAAATGATAGCTGTCAGCATAATTCCTTCGACCCGTAAAAAAGATAGTAATGAACTGGGAGACAACCACAATCAAGAAAGAATGCCAAAGGAAAGTAAACTAAGGTTGTTGTCTTACAAATACACAATTCCATTATTTCAGAATTCCTCTTTGGTTCTTTTAAAATTAGAGGACACAAAATACAAAACTCACTACCATCGAGTCAATTCCAACTTACAGCAACCCTATCTAGTTGCAGGGACTATACATTTTATACATTTTATGGGAAAAGACCGTCTCTTCTTTCGTCCATAGAATGGATAGGAAGCTTAAACTACTGATTTTGCAGCTGGCAGCCCAATGGCTTGTCACTATTAGTTATTTCAATTTACTCTCTTATAAACTATTTCAAACACACCTACTTTCTAGTTTGGTTTTGACTATTTTAATACCGTAAGTCATGAACATGCTATTCTTTTCTGCTAGCCCACGTTCACTATTGATGGCTTATTTATTTGTGTAGAATCTCCTTGTGTGCTCTGTAACCTGGAATTGGGAGCTCATGTTTCTTGGATGTATCTGTTGGAAAGCCTTAGTTGCGAGAATTTCACACCAAATAGGAGCAGCTTTTGTTTCTAAGAAGCTCCTAACCCAAGAACATTTTAATTGTCTTCCAATTAAGAACTGCACTTTTAATCCTTAAACTCATGTGATGGTGAACCTGCAATTAAGACCTATAGGGTGGGGGTGGGGGCGGAACGCTTACATTTCTCTGCGCCATGGCTGACGCAGACACGTTTCCTGTGCCTGCTTGGTGGATTTTCTTTCTCCTTCGCTATAACTTGGGCATTATTAGAAAACTGTGAATAAATCCTTTTCTCCTTTTCTCTGAAAATTAACTTCTTTTCTTTGTTTCAATAAATCTTAAAAGTGCAATGCCAGTTGTGTCTCCAGGCACGTAACAGGGGACTTTTAAAAGGTTGGTGGAAAAAGGAAATTATGAGTGAATGGAATTTTCCTATGGGTTTCTTGAAGGTCCCTTGCATATGCTTGATGTGACCTGGAAGCTATGGCTAGGAAACTGTGTGATAAGAGGTAATGACTTTATTTTTGTAAACAGATTTTCTAATTGACTCCACACCCACTTATAGGAACTTTCATACCTACATAGTCATTGGGAGAGCCAGAACAGCTTCCGGACTGCTATAAGGGCCTCACGAAAGAGAAATGCTTACTACTGCCCCTATTTCCTCTAACTCAGCGGTTCTCAACCTGTGGGTCACGACCCCTTTGGGGATTGAACGACCCTTTCACAGGGGTTGCCTGATTCATAACAGTAGCAAAATTACACTGATGAAGTAGCAACGAAAATCACTTTATGGTTGGGAGGGGTCACCACAACACGAGGAACTGTATGAAAGGGTCGCAGCATTAGGAAGTTTGAAAACCACTGCTCTGAATGATTATAAAGTCAAGTCTGATGTATTATAGTCACACAAATCTCTCTAAGTGAGCTTACGATGATTGCTCCTTGGTGAATGAAGAGTAAGAGGCATGGAGAGTGGAGGGATAGGGAAGCTGAGTTACTAATGCTCTAGTTCGTACAAGTCCAAGAACTCTGTCCTACAATGACCTTACCATACCAGCTTCTAACTATGACAGGCAACCAAAAGCCGAAAATACATCTGCAGCGTTAGTGTTACTTTACCAATCTCATTTCTTTAACGTCCTTTACATGTTTGTTCCCTGGCATTTTTAAGCGCTCAGCTATGCATTCAAGATGCAGGTTCTATTTACCCAACGTTTTCAGGCGTTCTGAGCGGAAGGGTCTTCCAAGATATGTCATCTCTCACACTACCACAACCTCAACCTCTGCAGTGTCGTAATCTGTGACAGTTATAATTATCTTCACCTGGGATCAGGGCTGGGATACTGAGAGGAGGTCACGTGAGCATGGGTCTGGGCTTTCTATCACATATAAACAATTTAAAAAGAAAGTGAATGAGAAGATTTCAACATCATTCAAAATTATTTTATAATGTACGATTTTTGCTCCTCGCTGTAGGCGCTTCATTTTCCTTACTCTGTGGAGAGAGAAAAGTGCCCTGGTAGTGTAGTGGGCTATATAGGGGTTTCCTAACTGCAAGGTCAGCCATTCAAAACCAGTTCCATTTTCCTAACATTTTACATTAGTTAAAGTCAACTCTGATTCACCTGACTCCACACAGACAAACAACACAGAAAGAATTATACTCTAGTACTATAAGAGGCTTATACTCAATTCTTTGATATTTAAAGTATACCATAACCTCAGCTGCATCAAACAGTATTTATTAGACAATTTGGCCAGAAAGGTAACCATTTGCTTATACCCTACTATGGTTCTCAACCCTTGTCAGGCATAATCTTTGTCCGTGAAGCTTTTAAAAGGACAGCTGCCCAGGCCCCACTCCTCCAGCCAACGCAATGGGGATCTCTGGGAGGAGCCGGGGCATGTTTGTGTTAAGTGACTGGGGTGAGCAGTCCGGGCCAGCATCCTACATTCCCAAGAACCCTATTAAATGCACTGCCAGATTATTGGCAAGAATGCTAACTAGCAAGTGGCCAATCACGTTATTCTCTTTAGAACTCATTGGACAGTGGTTTCAGTCCTTAGGATTGGTTGGGTTTCTCCACAGAAAGTGGCTTGATTTTTTTCCCCAGACATTATGAATCGTGGATGACTACGCTGCTAGGATGTTTATTTAACTTTTCTTCCCTACTCTTCTTCCACTTTTAAACTATCGTATCCTACTGTCTCTTAAACATTTCTGGATGTTACCTTAACATTTTCTGGAATAAGTTTGGGTGTATATAAGAAATATCACTAACTAGGACTAAAAGCCAAAGTCGACACCCACTGCCAGTGAATTAAATCTGCCGCATAGCCAATCTACAGGTCAGAGTAGGACTGCCTCTTTGGGTTTCTGAGGCTGTAAATCTTTACTTTCCCTTGGGTTCTCATAGAGGGGCTAATTTAATTGGTAACTTGCTAGTTAACATTGCTACTGTCAACATGGAGCAGAAAGTCTTAGCTTTCTCTAGAGTTAGCAGCTAGTGGGACTGAACTACTGACCTTGCAGTTAGCAAGCTCGAGGCATTACCCAATACTCCAAAGGATTCCCTAGTACCTAAGGCAATTTTCTTACATGCTAAAAAAAAAACAAAAAAACCCAGTTTTTTTTCATGCTCAATGATAAAGTTGAACAAATATCAAGTCATATTTGAAGGGAAAGTAAGACGTATATATGTAATCACAACTTCAGAGGTCAGTTTAAATGTTTTAAAATTACAACACAGTCGTAGTGGCTTAAAGGATCGATTTGCATAGGTAAAAGCAAAGATACTACAATAATAGGGAAAAAAGCAACAATAAGGCCAGGGGAATGAAAGGAATTGTCTTTGAGCATTAGCTATAAAAAGCATAACTACAAGATATGGGAGAAATATTACTTATGAACAACTAATTCCTCAGCATCACATGAGATGGACAGAAAGCTTGAAGATCACGCTCTGACTGCAGTTGATGACAGCGGCCCAGAACCCACCTGCTCCCGTGGCCCTCGGTGTGCGTTCTCCTTTTACTTGCTGGCACTCCAGAGGCAGGGTTTTTTGCCAAACTAGGTGGTGTGGAATTTCGAGATTTGATGTTACTTCTAGAACAGAGAAAGAGTAAACATGAAAACTTTTATGTCTCTACTTGCTTTCTTATATAACTAGAAAAAAAATCATATGTTAAAAGTTCAATCGAAGACTAATATTTATTTTAAGTTTGAAAACATGTAGTTAATACCAAAAATAAACCAAGGCATTTTGCACAAATTGACATTATGCTGAAGGCACAGAAAAACTAAAATATGTAAACATTCAATGTTTAAGTTACTAATACTAAAAGGTCTCAAATTTAAAAATAAGGAAATCTTTTAATTCCCTCCAAATAAATGTTTAATAGTTGTCTATATATAATTGCTAAATCATATAGGAAATAGGTTTTGCTGTTATTCAATCTTATATAATATGGCTAAAAAAACATTTTAACCAAATATTTAAATGTTAAAAAAATATATAATACATGCCAAATAAACATATTTCATTTATTCATAAACCACAGTAATCAGGTTAATGCAGTTTTATTCTTTAAAGATTTCTTTTCACCAACATAACCTAGACCATGTGATATCAGTAGAGGAAACATTTGGATTGGATTACTGTTCAACTCCTTGAGAATATTCAGGAATCAAAAAAAGTTAAGACAAACATGAAAGATTTCAAAAAGTTTGTGGGAAAATTCTACTTACTTTTACTTCAATTTTTCCACGAACACATTCTGAAGGTCCCTCACATATGGATCAGTGGGATTCAAATGGATCTGGTTTCAAATCCCAACAGCCACAGACCACTGTGATAGTGGTCAACCTTTATGAAACCAACTTATTTTATAGGATGTAAAGCTATAAAAAGTATAATTTATGTAAAACATTTGGTTAATTGCTGAGGATCCTATTATTGTTGCCACTGCTGTTATCACAAGTGGGAATTTCTACAATAGGCCTATGATTTGCTGTAGCTACTTTGCCCTTTAGACACTGACTTATTTAAAACTTGAAATAATTTGGCACATATGAGGCAAAGAATGCTTAGGTAACTTAACAACGATGAAACAGCTAGTATATTCCAGGGTTCAAATGGCGAATAAAGCATAGCTCCCTTACATCAGTCAAATCTTCACTTCATAGCTAAGCAATATTATGTTAGCTTAAATAGACAAAATACTTTTAAACAATTACGGCACTTTAGATTAGAAGTTCTTCAATTGTGGCTGAAATACTACCTCTTCAATTTATTTAGCAAAGTTGTAGAGAGTGTAGTAATTTTTTAAACATCTACTTACAGAGTCACGAGCTTTGGTAGCACTGTCAAGTAAGCGGTGAGCTACTAACCAGCCAAAGCTGGCAGTTCAAATCCACCAGCCACTCCTTGGGAGAAAGATGAGGCTGTGCTTTCCCACAGAGATTTACAAAACCTCAGAAACTCTATATAAATATATAAAAGCTGCCATTCAAAGACATGCTTTTTTGAGTAGTTTAGCCTTTAAATGGTCATTTCTAAATGTGAAAAGCAAAAATCTTTTCATGTGGCCTTCATATAGTCAGTGGCAAATCTGCTACAGTGTCTCGGGAACTCACTATTCACTGCTCAAGGATGGGAAATCCCCAGTGAGAGCGTCAAAGCGGAAGAGAAAGTACATTTTTGGCTCTGGAATTAAGCATTTTAGAAATACTATCATCTTCATATAAGATTCAAATGAGCTATAAACACACACACACACACACAAAACTTTACTGTACCAGAAACTATCAATTAATTTGGACAAAATGTTGGGATTTGGAGAATATGATTAGCAATATAAAAAGCTGCGATTAGTAAGTTTTTATCATTTATTTTCCACATATCTTTTAATAATTTCTAAAGAACTGCTATTAAATCTGAATGACAAGGACAATTCTTGAGAATTTGAGGATCCGTCTATCTTATAAGTACTTAAAAGCATGCTGCCAGAATCTTCTGAAGTCAACACACTTTTATTCCTGGCCAGAGTCTGAAAATTGCTGCCCAATTCTATAACTAGAATCTGCTTCTTATAGCCAATAAAGGTTTGATTTTAGAACTACATGTAATTTGACTTACTGCTATTAAGTAGTAAATACTATTAAGTAAACACTATTAAGTGTTTCTTTGAGATCAGCTTCAGAGGGCACAGGTAGTAGAAGGGCTAAGAAAAAGGTTCATGGATCAAAGCATTCCTTCTAGAATTTGTCACTAGTTAAAACTAACACATGGATTTTGGTAAGATCTCTGAGATTTTCCCAACCCTTGCATTTATCAGTTTTTATACACAGTAAGCAGAATGCTATAGGAGACCTGGGTTAAAAAGTTTTTAGACATTTACTTTTCAACTTTAATTTTTCAGTTTTGATTTCATCATTTTAAAAAGAGAAGGCTACACCCAGTATTGGAGCTCAAATCAGCAAAGCCTTGGAGCCTCGTTTTACAAAGCTCAGAAATGACCGCCACGACACACTTGCCTGATTATGTGCCAGCTATAATAAATAGAGACAGATGCACAGGCAGTGTTACATCCTTTCCTTTTTATACAGAAAACCTGACAATAGCTCTATGTAGCTAAAGCCTGATGTTCCCTAGAATGAATGTCTTATAATATTTTTCTGGTTTAAAAAAAATGTGCCACTTGCTTAGCTAAAAAAAAAACATTGTTACATAATATATACGACCTAATATTCCCCTACTCTCCTTTAAAAAAAATTCTCCAAAAAAAATTTTAATGGAATGTGTCTAAAATAGCTATATTTATAGCAGTAAAAGGAAAAAGTTTTAAGGCCTAAAAAAATTTTTAGAACTTTTTGAACTAAAAATAATTAAATTAAATATAGGAATGATTAAGTTATGGTATCCCAGTATAGAAAATTTTTAAGGAAATATCTGAAAAAGATTAACCAAGCTGAATTGCAAGTACTTACTTGTAAATGGGTAATAACTCATGTCTTTTGACGGCACTGCCTGATTTTCTATCACCGTCATACAACCTGTGCACAGCTCTTCCAGTTCGAAGTGGAGGGCCTAACTTGTCCATCTTACTATTAAAATATATAAAAGTGGACCCATAAGGAGTTTGCTACTTTATACAGTTAGAAAAAGTAGAGGGGAAAAATACTAGGTATTATTCTGACCCATCAGAAATCTATCCCCACCCTTTAATTAAAAGCCCTTATTTCATCACCTGGCTGCCAACATAAGAATTAATTTCAAAAGAGAATCTTCAGGGTTCACAGAGTGTCCTAATTAGACAATAAATTCTAATTCTACATACCCAGGCTATCTTGCTAGTTTTGATGTGCACATAAATTCATAGTATTCAGCAGGGTACTGGGATCATAAAGACTTTTAGGAAGAAAAGGAAGTATTTCAAAGTAAATTAGTAAAACTGAGTGGAAAATGAGATTGATGAACAATTTAACTTCTCCCCTTTCCTGAATTCATGGACTCTTTCCTCTTGCTTAGTTTTGTCTTACAACTTCCTCTGCATTTTAAAATTCTGAGTGTAAAATATAGAATCAAATAAATATTGTGCTTACATTTCTACCTCACCTGACAAGGCTTATGTCTGAAATCTACCCAAAGAAGGAGTGAAGTGTATGTCCCGTGTCAAACAGTGGAAAGGCATGGATGGTGAGCCTGAAAATCCTCTTGTGAAAATATTACATGACTGTGCCATTCTTTACCAACATTATACAGGAGCTCCATCTAGAGGTTATTAAGAAAAACTGCAGGTTTAACATTTCAATCTTCTATCAACCCACACTGCGTCATATATATTCTTACCAAGCAAATGTACATTCCCACCAACCAAAATCCATGCATATGAAGTAAAAAGGAAGAGCAAATAAAAAATCAGGAGGTTTTGAAACGACTACTGCTAGCACACGGGGCTCTGGTGGCGCGCTGGTCACAAGACGGCTGCAATCCACAAGGTCACAGTTTGAACTCCGCTGCACGTCTGCTGGAGAAAGAGCCCACTTCCTTTTTTTTTTTTCTTTTTCCTTTAAAAATCATTTTATTGGGGGCTCATAAAACTTTTATCACAATCCATCCATCCACTGTGTCAAGCACATTTGTATATGTTGCCCTCATCATTCTAAAAACATTTGCTTTCTACTTGAGCCCTTGGTATCAACTCATTTTTTTAAAATTACTTTATTGGGGGCTCGTACAATTCTCATCACAATCCATACATACATCCAGTGTGTCAAGCACATATGCACATTCGCTGCCCTCATTCTCAAAACATTTGCCCTCCACCTCAGCCCTTAATATCAGTTGCTCATTTTCCCCCTCCCTCCCCACCCCCCCCCCCCCACAAACCCTTCATAATTCACAACTTATTATAGTTTTGTCATAAGTCACTGTCCGATGTCTCACCCCCCTCCTCTGCTGTCCCTCCCCCAGGGAGGAGGCAATACCTAGATTCTTGTAATCAGTTCCCCCTTTCCACCCCACATTCCCTTCACCCTCCAGGCCTCGCCCCTCTCACCACTGGTCCTGAAGGAGTCATCTGTCCTGGATTCCCTGTGTTTCCAGTTGCTATCTGTACCAATGTACATCCTCTGGTCTAGCCAGATTTGTAAGGTAGAATTGGGATCATGATAATAGTGGGAGGGAGGAAGCATTTAAGAACTAGAGGAAAGTTACATGTTTCATCGTTGCTACCCTGCACCCTGATTGGCTCGTCTCCTCCCCTCAACCCTTCAGCAAGGGGGTGTTCAGTTGCCTACCGATAGGCTTTGAGTCTCCATTCTGCACTCACCCACCTCTACAATGATATTTTTTGTTCTTTGATGCTTGATACCTGATCCCTTCGACAACTCGTGGTCACGCATGCTGTTGTGCTTCTGCCATGTGGGCTTTGTTGCTTCTGATCTAGTTGGTCGCTTGTTTATCTTCAAGCCTTTAAGACCCCAGACGCTATATCTTTTGATAGCCTGGCACCATCAGCTTTCTTCACCACCTTTGCTTATGCACACGTTTGTCTTCAGTGATCGTATCAGGAAGGTGGGCACCCACTAATCTGATTTTTAGT